CCCAAAAGTTTGGGGGGGGGGGGGGGCAAAGGGTTAAAAAAAAGGGGGGGGAGAGAAAAGGGGAACCCCCCCCCCCCCCCCCCCCCGGCAGTTGTGCACGCCTTCGCACCTAGTCGAAGAGCCCCTGGACGCCCGCGAAGCCTGGGACCCTGCAGAGGCGTAGCCGGAGCTCCCTCCGCGGCGCACGGTCGTCCTTCCTCGTGGCGCGGTGGCAGCGACGCCTGTTTCAGCCCCAATGGGTGTAAGGATAGAGAAGAGCGGGGGTTGGGGAGGGGGAGGGAGGGGGGGAGAGAATCAGAGAGAGAGAGAGAGAGAGAGAGAGAAAGAGCGAGAGAGAGAGGCAGACAGACAGAAACAGAGAAAGTGGTGGAGAGAGAGACATCCATGACGAATAACGTGTCTACCAACGAAGACGCTCTGAGCCAAAGTCAGCAAGGGAAGACACGGTGGTCTTTACCAGCAGGCGATGACTGAGAGAGCTGTCAAGACCACCACATCCGCGAGACATACACCATTGTATTCGGCACGCACTTGCCGCAAGCAGTGAAAAGAGAGGTGTCGAACGTTATGATTGGAATCAGGTCAGACCTGTGTTTTTTTTTTTACGTTACCTTGTTTCGGTTCTCTACATGCCTTGTGACCGCCGAAACTCACTGGTTCAACAACAATAACAGCAACAACCACAACAACAACTACAAGAACAAGAAAAACAACGCGCACAACAACAACAACAGCAACAACAACGATAACAACGACAGAAACTACCACGGCTGTTGTCATCCTTCCAGACCCGTGTGTACCAAATAGTTTCTTGCCTGCTAGCGACGGTCCCGACCCTCGATCTCTAGACGACCCGATCCAAGAATCTCGCCCGGAATTTCTCGCGGGAGAGTACCCGATCTCCCTCCGCTCCCGTCTCCGACGGTCTTCTTCCAACCTGCATCAATCGACGCGACACGGTCAGAGACAACGCGCTCATTCTTTGCTCGAAAACCACGCAGGAGTTGACACAAAGATGGTCTCTCGCTGTGTCCTTCTGTCTCT